CAGGGATTTGAGCTGAGGGGGGATCGGAGCTTGTTGGGCCCCTCAGGTGGGGGTTCAGGGCTTGATCTACCCCAGGGGTGGGGGCTGAGCGGGATCGGAGCTTGTTTGGCCCCTCAGGTGGGGGTTCAGAGAGATCAAGGCCTGTTTGGCCCCTCAAATGGGGACTCAGGGCCTGATCTGCGCCAGGGGTGGGGGCTGAGGGGGATCGGAGCTTGTTGGGCCCCTCAAATGGGGGTTCAGGGCCTGTTTGGCCCTTTAGATGGAGAATCAGGGCCTGATCTGCCCCAGGGGTGGGGGCTGAGGCCTTCTAGGGGTCTGTTTGGCCCCACAGATTGGAGCTGAGAGGGATCAGAGCTTGTTTGGCCTCTCAAGTAGGGGATGAGGGGGATCAGAGCCTGTTCGGCCCCACAGATTTGAGCTGAGGGGGATCAGGGCCTGTTTGGCCCCTCAGGTGAGGGTTCAGGGCCTGATCTGCTCCAGAGGTGGGGGCTGAGGCAGTCTAGGGGTCTGTTTGTCCCCACAGATTTGAGGTGAGGGGGATCGGAGCTTGTTTGGCCCCTCAAATGAGGATCAGGGCCTGACCTGCCCCAGGAGTGGGGGCTGAGGGGGATCAGAGGTTGTTTGGCTCCTCAGGTGGGGGCTGAGGGGGCTCAGGGCCTGATCTCCCCCAGGGGTGGGGGCTGAGGCAGTCCAGGGGTCTGTTTGGTGCCTCAGATATGGGCTGAGGGGGATCAGGGCCTGTTTGGCCCCAGGGATTAGATCCTGAGGGGGGATCGGAGCTTGTTTGGCCCCTCAGATGGGGGCTCAGAGGGATCAGGGCCAGTTTGGTTCCCCCGGGGGGGACTGACAGGGCTCAGGGCCTGTTTGGCCCCACAGATTTGAGCTGAGGGGGGATCAGAGGTTGTTTGGCCCCTCATATGAGGGGTCAGGGCCTGATCTGCCCCAGGGGTGGGGGCTGAGGGGGTTCAGGGCCTGTTTGGCCCTTCAGATGGAGGATCAGGGCCTGACAGCCCCCAGGGGTGGGGGCTGTGAGGGATTGGAGCTTGTTTGGCCCCTCAAGTAGGGGATGAGGGGATTCAGGGCCTGTTTGGCCCTTCAGATGGGGGTTCAGGGCCTGATCTGCCCCAGGGGTGGGGGCTGAGGCAGTCTAGGGGTCTTTTTGGCCCCACAGATTTGAGCTGAGGGGGATCAGAGCTTGTTTGGCCCCTCAGATGGGGGTTCAGGTTCTGATCTGCCCCAGGGGTGGGGGCTGAGGGGGATCGGAGCTTGTTTGGCCCCTCAGCCGAGGGTCAGGGCCTGATCTGACCCACAGATGAGGGCTGAGGGTGTTTAGGGCCTGATCTCCCCCAGGGGTGGGGGCTGAGGCAGTCCAGGGGTCTGTTTGGTGCCTCAGATATGGGGTGAGTGGGATCAGAGCTTGTTTGGCCCCTCAGATGGGGGGCTCAGGGCCTGATCTGCCCCAGGGGTGGTGGCTGAGGCAGTCTAGGGATCTATTTGGCCCCACAGATTTGAGCTGAGGGGGATTGGAGCTTGTTTGGCCCCTCAGATGGGGGTTGATGGGAATCAGGACCTGATCTGCCCCACAGATTTGAGCCGAGGGGGGATCAGAGCTTGTTTGGCCCCTCAGATGGGGGCTCAGAGGGATCAGGGCCTGCAAGGCCCCACAGATGGAGGTGAGGGGGATCAGGGCCTGATCTGCCCCACAGAATAGGAGGCAGGGGGGGTCAGGGGGTCTGTTGGGCCCCTCAGATTGGGGCTGAGTGGGATCAGAGCCTGTTTAGTCCCTCAGATGGAGGCTTAGGGTGATCAGGGCCTGAACTGCCCCTCAGATGGGTTGTGAAGGTGCTCAGGGGCTTGCACTGCCCCACAGATGGGGGCTGAGGGAGGTCTAGAGGTCTGTTTGGCATCTCAGTTATGGGGTGAGGGGGATCAGGGCCTGTTTGGCCCCACAGATTGGAGCTGAGGGAGTTCAGGGCCTGTTTGGCCCCTCATATGGGACTGAGAGGAATCAGGTGCTGAAATGATTCTAAGGGGTCTCAGGGCTTGCACTGCCCCACAGATGGCAGCTGAGGGGGTTTAGGGGTCTCTTGGGCCCCCCAGATATAGGCAGGGGGAACCTCAGGGCCTGCACTGCCCCACAGATGGGGGCTTGTTCAGCCCCACAGATAGGGCCTGAGGGGGTTTAGGGCCTCTTTGAGGCCTGGGCAGTCCCACAGATTATAGGGCCTGAGCAGAGGGCTCAGAAACCTGCACTGCCCCCCCAGAGGGACACTTGGGGGGCTCAGAGTCCCTTTGGGGTCTGGGTAGCCCCACAGTTGGGTGCTAAGAGGGCTCAGGGTCCCTTTGGGGCCTGAATTGCCCCACAGATTGGTGTGTTGGGGAGCTCAGGCCCCTTGAAGCAACA